AGGGTGATGGTAGACTTCTTCAAGGCAGCTTTTGCCTTAATTGAAATTTTTGGCTTTCTGGAAAAAGTTTAGCTATTTATTTACCCCAGGAAATGTTCAGAATACCTTTTAGGGGGTGTATTCAAATCACTATTGAAATAAGACTGTATAGCACTTTATATTTTTAAAAATACCTACTTCCTCCTTCAATCTTTTCTATTAAGATTGTGAAAATAAAAGGACAAGTTTGAGACTATGATTCATTCCTATTTGATAGTTCAGGAAAGAGAGACACAGAGCCGTTAGGGTCTCACATCTTCCCACCCTAGGAAGGAAAAGGAATTCATGTTTCTTGAGTCCCTGCCGCACATATATATTTTTCATTTACCTTTCTAGGAATGGTGACAGGTTGTCAGTAATATAATCATACCATCTTTTCCAAGCCACTTGGACTTGACTGAAGATATATTTTTGAGGCTAGTGTATTGTGGCTATGACAGAGAATGAAAACATCTGGCTTCCATAGGCACTAAAGCCATGTTTAGAGGTAATGGCCTCCCTGGCATTCTTTAACCAGTGAGCTAACTGTCCATTTAATATTCAGACTAAATATTCCTGCTCCTTTTCCCTCCACAGATACCCAGTAGAGATTTCTATTATACAATAGAACCTACACATTGATTGGACTTCCTCCCTCTACTAGATTACTTGAGAGCAGCAATTCCTGTCATGCTTTAGTGCCTGACTCATAGTAAGCACCCAATAATTATTTGAATTAATCTCTTAAAATCTATTGATTTTAATCCCTTTAAATCTATTGATAAGTATTTTACTTTGCAAAGTCCTCAACACCTGAAAGAGTAGAGGGACTACTTAGTTGGTGCATAGGCTTTTCTAACAATATTTTATAGTTGGCTTTTGTTTTTAGAATGACTTTGGACATTGAAAAGGTAGGGAATAATGTTGATTCTATAAATTCTGCCAAAATTGAGTAGAAAGAATGAGTGTAGAGATGTCAACATCAATTAACTTTCTATCTTCATAAGAAATCTGATTCTAACACATCCATTTGGACTTGAGTGGAATATAGTGTATAGAATTTTGAGTGAGTGGCAGTGGATAATTTGGTAAAATTTGCTGACATGCTTTTAAACAGCTAAGAGATATACTGCCTCAGACCAGCCCCCAAGGGGAGATGTTATATGTCAGCCCTAAACATATTGGCAGGCAGCATGAATCCAGACTTCTGGGCTGTCACATGGACTCTTTTTTGCTAGTCATTCTTGTTCTCTCTGACAGTGAGCTCTTTCACTTGTGCTTTGGCTGCCCAGGAAGCATGATTAGTCCTTTCACAATTGGTGATGATGGTTTTCTCCTTTCATCCATCTTTCTAGGTCTTCCCCTTCTAAGTCCCAGTCGTCAGATAATAGGTGGTACATGCACAGCCACTCTGGGAGTCTTCAGAATAGAAAGTGCCTGTCTCAGGAGGAGCTCATTAAGGTTGTTGATGTGGAGGAGCAACAACTGGAAAAGTCTGAGTCACATGATTTAATGGAGCAGTCTTCTTTGCCAAGGCAAGATCTAGGTAGTATTTCATCTGCTCTAATAGAAAAAACACTTTTATTTTGCTCTGTATCCTACATAAAGATATTCTGGTTAATCAACTTTAAGTGTACTAATCTATCGTGAATACCTATTTTTTAGAAAAATAACTCAAGTGTTAATCCAAGTGTACTTGAAAATTATTAGAGTTGTTAATCCATCGATCAATATTTTAATAAATGGTTTAACTAACAATTTTGAGGATGTGAGAGTCTTGATGTGTTCTAAATATTTTAATTCAACTGTTAGGAGTCCTAAGACCATAGAATGAAGTTTTAGGCCTGTCCTTTATTGAAAAATGAGTCAGATCCTGAAGTAAGCTCTTCTTTTATGAATTAATTAATATAATAACTATGTTTTTTATGCTTTATAAATTACTTTTAATGAATGGTATGTTTTATGACTTATAAATCAAAGTTTTAATCTGTAAATAAGGTTTTTAATTAATCCTCAAAAACACATTATCATAAAAGGCACTATTTGGCATCAAATGTGGTATTTGGCCATGTTCATTAGGGTCGTCTTAGGAATCTCATACGTTCTGCTTAGCTACACATAATTCCTGATAGCATGACATTTTCTGAAATGTTTTGGGGGTGATGTCTCTGCTATTTTTAATTTGGCAATGATATCTGTTGATTAATTAAGTGAAAAGGGTAATGATGCCATCATGGATGAAGAAACAAAAATAGAGTATTTGCCACATTTTTCAACCTTTCTTTCCTTCCTTACAAAAGTGCTATATATTCAGTGTCCCGAAATTGGATGAGATAGGAAATAAAGAAGAGGAATATTTAAAACTACCTGTATTGCCAGGCCCAGTGGTGCACACCTATAGTCCTAGCTATTCTAGAGGCTAAGGTGGGAAAATAGCTTGAGCCCAGGAGTTTTAGGCCATAGTGTGCTATGATTGCACCTGTGAATAGTCGCTGCAGTCCAGCCTGGGCAACATAGTAAGACCCTATCTCTATAAAAATTGAAAATAAAGTAAAATTATCTGTATTTCCTATAAGTTAACAGTAAAATATTGCTGTTTCTTTAGTCATTTTACCTAAGCTTTTATTTTTAAAATACAGTCATGATAAATAGTATCTGTTAGCTATCTTCTTTAATATATTAGAAAAATTTTTCCATTTTATTGTATATCAATGTTTATATTCAAACTGTAATGAATGAAGAGTACTCCATTGGACTAGATAGATGTATCATTATTTAATCTATTTTTGAACATCTAAGTTGTTTCTAAAATTATACTATTATTATATAAACAGTGTTGCAGGAAACATCTTTATAACTAAACCTTTACATATATCTTTTATTTCCTTAGGATACGTTTCTAAAAGTAGAATTTTTGGCCAAGCACAGTGACTCAGGCCTGTAATCCCAACACTTTGCGAGGCCAAGCAAGAGGATTGCTGGAGCCCAGGAGTTTGAGGCCAGCCTGGGCAACATAGCGAGACTCTATCTATACAAAAAAACTTAAAAATTAGCCAGTAGTGGTAGTGCATGCCTGTAGTCCCAGCTACTCAGGAGGCTGAGGCAAGAGGATCACTTGAGACCAGGAGTTCGACATTGCAGTGAGCTGTAATCACACCACTGCTCTCCAACCTGGGTGACAAAGAGAGACCCCATCTCTACATAAAATTTTTTTAAAAACCTAGCAATTTTGACTGACACATGTTAAGCTTTTTGCCATATAATACCCTTTAAAAAATTTTTTTTTAGAAAAATGAAACCACTTTGTACTTTCACCAACAGTGTATTAGTGTACCCATTTTTTTCTTAACCTAACTTCATTGGTCTTTTTAATTTTTTTTTTTTTTTGAGACAGAGTCTCACTCTGTTGCCCGGGCTAGAGTGCCATGGTCAGCCTAGCTCATAGCAACCTCAGACTCCTGGGCTCAAGCAATCCTTCTGCCTCAGCTTCCCGAGTAGCTGGGACTACAGGCATGTGCCA